GAGTAAATCGTGCTGGAGGAATTTCTTCATTGCCTTTCCTTAATTTCCAAACCATTTTGAGCAAACAACGCGTTCAAATCAGAAGAAATTTTGAGAGAAAAGATTTTGAACTAAAATCCCTAGAAAAACGAAAGGGGGAATTTTTTTGAGAAAAGATTGAAGTGTAAATCGAGTTGGTAAAAGAAAACGGAAATACAGCCCTAGTTTAATGGTTAAGTGATGAGCCATTTTTACCCTTGAAAAAATCACGTGAAAGGCACGTGTGTGAGATTCCGGCAAAAATGCCCTGAATATTCCCTTTTTGAGGCACCGTGTAACAAAAAACATAGTTCGGGTAAAAACGTGCAAATTTTTTTTGTTTGGGGGTAAAGTGCAAAACGGGCTATAATTTAAGGGGTAAACTTCTTTTACTCATGAATATATGCCAAAGTGCAAATGAAATAATAGCAAAAATCACATCATATACGCAAAATGCAGAATAAACAACAAAGTGCAAAATACATTACTCTAGAAACAACAAATTCCAAACAAAAAGCAACAAAATCGAATATATGTTGCTTGCAATCAACACCAGAAAATAATATGAAAAAAAAAATTGTATTACAAAACAACGAAATGAAAACATAAAATAATGTAACACAAATCACCAAAGCCCAACAGACAATCAACGACTTTAGGAGGAAAAAAAACAAATTCAACAAAATACTCCCTAGGGCCGAAAATCACAAAAGCGACAAAAAAAATTGTCGCAATTGAGATAAGAAAAAATGCAAAACAACCGGCAAAATGTTGTAACTCAAATAGTAAAATTCAAACATAAAATAATGTCAAATAAACACCAAAATCGAAACAAAAAATAAAGACTTTCGTAGAAAAAAAACACATGGGGTCAAAACCTCTAAATCTGCATCTTTCACTTTTGTTATTAAAAAAACCCATTGCATTCTGTGAATGAATCGCCACTAAAGACATTTTAAAAAAGACAATAGCAAATTACCTGTGCATTTTCGATTGTGCAATATCTTTTCGGATGTGTTTTTGTTGTTGGCGGTTCGCAAAAGTTATAGGGGTTCCATCGTTCTCGAGAACAACAATAGGGTTACAAAGATTGCATAGAAGACAAGGGGGAGAAGTTTTGCTGTTTCGGGAAATTAAAGATTGAAGAATGCAATTTGGGGAGGAGGTTTTGCGCATATCTGAAATGTCCCAATATTCCAATTAAATACCCAATATTTTCTAAATTTTTAAAAATCGTTTCAATGGCGATATTTTTTTTTTGGGATATTTGGGTTTATTTATTTTCTGAAAATCCGGAATTGGAACAAAAATTTTTTTTTTTTTGAGAAGAACAAAAAAATTAATCTAATTAAATTTTGAATATTTCCTACTAAACTTCCGAAAATTGTTCCGAAATCTCCATATATTTGGAAAATAATGCAATTCTAACATAGTTTTGGTGTTTTGGATTCTGAAAATTTCAAAATTGGAATAACAAGATTGGAATATTTCAAAAAATGTTTAATTTCCTATTCAATTGAAAGAAGCAATGGCAGATGACGTAATTTCAGTCGCCATGAGCCCCAAATTCCAAACCCCACCAAGAAAAATATCTTGTCCCATTTCTCGAAGCTTCCCCGCGGCGTACTCCCATTTTCTCTCTCTCTCTCTCTCTCTCTTTTCTTCGCAGATATTTTCACCTCTGTTAATTCGCCATTTCTTCTTCAACGTATAATGAAAAAACTTTGTACTTGTTATAATTCCGCCTGGTTTCTCCAATTCTCGTAATCAATCAATTAACTAACCGGGTACGGGTATGGATCGAGAGGGGGGATCCAACATCCGATCTCAATGCTACTACTCTGTGCTTGGGATTTATAAGGACGCCTCCTTCTCAGACATTCGTTCCGCTTACCGGAAGCTTGCTCTGGTAATTTTAACAATCATGATTTTTCTATTTAATGATGACGTCATCCTCTGTTTTTATTTTGATTGAATTATTATTAAAAAAAAAAATAATCTATTTTTTTTATTTGGATGGTAGAAATGGCATCCAGACAGGTGGGCGAAGAACCCCTCCGCCGCCGCCGCCGGAGAAGCCAAACGCTGCTTCCAGAAAATCCAAGAAGCATATGCAGGTTCATACACATTTTTTAAATATTAATCAATTTTATATTTCAATAAATTCAGTAAACTGTGATGCATTTCGGGGGTTTGGTTGTGTATAATTAATTTGATTGAAAATTGAGATTATTGCTGCAGTATTGTCTGACAAGGGGAAAAGGTCAATGTATGATGCCGGATTTCTCGATCTCTTTGAGGAAGACGAGGTGCGAATCTAGTGTATATATTATACGTAAACTAGTGTATATTCATTTTCGTGTTGTCGGGACATAACATTGGATATGCTAGGAAAACTCTTAAATACATATGTATCATCTATAATTGAGTTCCTTTATATTTAGGTATCATTCAAATAATTTAACGATTATAAACAATGAAATTATTTCACTTGTTTGAAAACCAAATTTGCAAATATGGCAATCAGGGTATGGGGGACTTCTTGCACGATTTGATGAATATGATGGAGCAGAATGTGGGGAGTGAGGTACGGAAAA